TAATTTGTCGTCACCCGGCTTACTGGCAGAATTTTCGGTAGACCGCAACCGCAACTGTTTGATTCAACACCGTCCAAAGCTTCAGTGGATGCTGGCGCTTCTTGCTTGTCAGCACCACAGAGAAGTTCGAGAAGCCCTCAGAGGGAGGGAACCAATCGGCTAAACGCTTAAAAAATTAACTTTCGCTTCGCTCAGTGAAAAAAACGAGAAATTCTTCCAAACTGGATATATACGTACCCATTATTTCATTACAGTTGGTTCAGGTTCGTGACAAGTAGGGGGTGTGACGAAGCTATAACTGGAGCGTTTCACTGCTTGCATCACGGTCCAGTCGGCGAAGTCAAAACAATAGGGTTGATAAATAGAGAAAAACAGAATACCAACCACATTTGACGCAGTTGTCCCGACCAACTTCAGGCAGCCACAAAAGCTAAACGGGGAAAAGGGCATGGATCCATAGATTACACAAGGATCTGGCAAATATTCGGAGATCTTTAACAGGGCGACCTTTCGCTTTTGACAAGTGACCTGGTCACCAGGTTGGACAGATTGTAAAACGGAAGGAGGAAAAAATAGTAATACCTCTTCAGATTGACACACTAGATTAGTGCTGGATGTCAGTTAAGAGGTCTTTTCGGGTAGTGTGTTTGTCAAAATCTTTCGGTTGGTGAGTTGGGGGTTCCTAGACGTCTCCGTTCAAAGTACTTCAACTGATGAAAGGGGTGGATTGACGGGCGTTTCTGCGAAGATGTGGCACGAGGTTATGTAGCCTACTCTGTATGTTCACCATCCACCCATAGCCTGACACTACGAACTCTTCCAAAGTTCCGACCTTTTGTGGAGAATCTATGCTATACAAAAACGAGTCTACAGACGTTGAAAGACTGGATAGAGCACGAATTACTTTGTACTGACAAAACATAATACAAAGAGACGATCTGAGTGGGCACACTAATAAGACAGCAAAGTGTACTTCAAATGAATTTGCTTCAAAAGGATCACCATGTGTTCATCTGGCACCCCTTGTGCAGTACATTCAGATGGGGAATATCATAAACGAAAGATCTCATTGGGGCTCCCGTGGAAATCAAATCGGATGAGCGCAGTACGCGAATTTCGTACAATTTAGGCTCACGCAGGAGAGGAAGTTGACGCAAACTCTGGAAATGTGCCTCCCACAGTGGAAAGACTAAACCGATCATTGAGACTGTCGAAAAGGTTTCGGTAACTTTCATTGGTTTAGATAGGTACTTGTTGGCTGGTGAAACAAGCTTGTTGAGGCCCATTAGGGTCTCTTGTTCCGTGCGGCCTTGTCAAGTTCTTTGAAAACTAGCCTGTGAACCCACATACCAGTTGTGTACACATATGTTGGCAAATCCGCCGCCGATAAAACGTGACGTATGTGACAGTAAATCAGACTGATTAACTGGGTTAGAACGACGGCGGTCAACCGTTGATCTGATTCACCGGCAAGAGAAAATGGATGATGCTCACGTGACCTTTCAGATCGACATCCAGTGGTCTTCTGAAAACAAAAGCTGACGGCGCAACCCTGCGGAGGGTGGGAACGAGCCGGTCAAAATTGACTTGGCATCGAAGGCTAGTTCCACCGAAAATGGGCACACCACTAGCTAGAGGCGAGACGAAGTCAAGCCCTCAATGGCGCTAGTGCATCCGATCTGTTGTTTCTAATGCATAGGCCATCTTCCGATTTCCCCAATAGGAGGTCCACTCACAACTCTGGAATTTCGCATCAGTTGTGTCGTCTACCGCCTCTAACTCATAGCTACCTATCCATTCTCACAAAATCATCGGCGAAGAAAACTGTGGCAGCCATGACCACTGCACGCCAAATGCGCAATCTTCACAGCAGATGATGTTGATGATGATGACGATGATGATGATGATGATGATGATGATGATGATGATGATGATGATGATGATGATGA